CTCATTTCAGTGTTGTTATTCCTTTCCCTTTTCTCTCCCTTCTCTAGTTCCCCTCACTCTTTCCAAACATCTGGTGTTGAAATGCCTCCAGTTTTGCTCAAGATTTCTTTCAGTATTCTAGAATTTTGCACTTCTATATGAATATTAAAATGAAATTTCCTGCTTCTGTGGTTTTTAAGTGTGATGAATCTAGTTTGTCTTAGTTATAATGGGCATATTACTAATATTTTTTTCTTATGCTCGCACCGGAGTTCATTTCATCACTTAGTGTCTTCAATTTGTTTCATCAATATTGTATAAATTTCCTTATAGAGGTTACATGCTTACTGAGTCAAGTTTATTTCTAGAGTTTTCTTTACATTTGCTGACTGTTATGGGTAAGATTACTTTCATGAATTTTTTCTCAGAAAATTTATTATTAGTGTATTTGGAAAAGTAATTGATTTTTGTACGTTGGTTTTCTGTCTTCCTACTTTACTGAACTTGTTTATCAGGCTGACAGACTCTTGGTGGGTGAAGCGTTTAGGTCTTCTTATGTATAGATTCTGAACTGTAAACAGGGATGATTTGATTTCCTCTTTTACTAATTATTTTTGCATATTTCTTACTTAGTTATTCTGCTTAAAATTTACTGTATTGGATGAGAAGAGTTAGAGTGTGCAGCCTCAACTACTTCCTGATCGTTGAAGATATGTTTTCCATTTTCTCCGCTCAGGATGAGGTTGGCTGTGAGCCTGACACACAGTCTTTATTCTGTGCATCTCATACTTCCTTTGTTCAAGGGTTCATCATTAACGACTGTTGAACTTTATCAAGTACTTTTCCTGCCTCTGTCAAAATGCTCATGTGATTTGTATCCTTCATTTGATAGGGCAGATTGCAATTATTGAATTGTGTATGTTGTTATTTATGGTGCATTATCTTTTTAACTATTTTTATTTATTTATTTACTTATATTTTATTTTCTTTACTTTTTTGTACAGGGACTTGTTATGCATCTCAGACTCATAGTGACCCTCCTGTCTCAGCCTCCCCAGCGCTGAGATTACAGGTGTGCACCATCACACCCCGTTTAAGTTGAGCATTGCATGCTGGGTAGCTGTATGGTAGGGCTTGTGGTACCAGGGATCAAACTTGGGTCCTTACACTTGCCAGGCAGGTGCTTAGAGCACTAAGCTTTCTCCTCAGTCCTATTGTGTATTATCATTTTGATGTGTAATTTCATTCAGTTTATTAGGATTTTGTTGAGATTTTTCTTGTTTATGTACACTGGGAATATCTATCATCTGCTTTTTTTTTTTCTTGCGGCACAGGCTAATATTGGCCTCATGAAATGGGTTTAAAAGGCTTCCTTTCAGTTCAGAGAAATAGTTGAGAAATCACTGATGTGGTCAGTTTCTCTTTAAATGATTGCTAATTTACTAATTATATCACAATCTAATTGTGCTTTCAATTTGCATCATGTTAGTGCAAAATGGAGTTGGATATATTTTCATGAGCTTATGTGCCATTAATATATGTTCTTTGATGAACTTTTGGTGAAATGTGGTAAAAGTTCAGACTATAAAAGTCTCACCTTTCTTTGTGTCAGCTCAGAGGATCTCACCCATCTGCTTTCAATCCTCTCCATGTCTGGAGTTAATAAAGCCATCTTTATCTTTCCTATCTCTTTACTGTGCCCCAAAATCGTAAGAAAAGTTTTGATTGCCTTAAATTCGATGTGATTAATTTAATTGAGAAAGGAGATCTATCCTCAATAAAAGCCGTGGAGAAATAAATAAGTTGCACATATCTCATACCAGTTTGTGACTTATTGATAACATCAATGTCTTCTGGAAAAGAAATTTTCCTTTTGTGTGATGAAATCAATCAATTAATTAATTAATGGAATATACTTTGATAGTGTATCTAATTTTTTCCCTGTCCTATGTTTTTCTTTGTGTGTGTGTGTTCTTTTTTTAAATTAATTTTATTGTGAAACAAATAGCAATGAGACAGCATCAAAATGGGTTAGTAGGACACTTTCAATAATTAATACATCTCATATTGTTGTCTTCATAGTAGTTATTCATAGTACAAGATACAGACATGATATCCTGTCCAAACACTATTAGTACAAAATTGGTCAAGCAACGGCCTTGACTCATCCACATGGCTCACACTGACAAAGTATCTACAGACTGCTGTACAAGGTTTCAGAGTAAGTCCTGAGGGGAGTTGATTGACCTTGACAGAAACAAAAGTTACATTTCTTGTTATATAGGTCTTGCATTATCTTGGTCTTAACCATCCAACAGAAAAGTATAAAAACGAAGTATAAAAAGTAAAGCCATATTAATATG